GTCCCCAGAACCGCCTGTGGCGCAAGACCAGGTCCCTCAACGCCGGGTCCCCCTGCGTGGGCGTCGACCCCAACAGGAACTGGGCCGTGGGGTTTGGAGGTGAGAGCGGCCCCACGCCGGGAATCTGCCATCCCTGGGATCATCCTGGCATTCCCGAGGGACAGGGACCCTCACCTGGGCTCCTGCAGGTGCCGGCTCCAGCGGCGATCCCTGCTCCGACACCTTCCACGGCCCCTTCCCGCACTCCGAGAGGGAGGTCAAGGCCATCGTGGACTTCATCCGTGGCCACGGGAACGTCAGGTCCGTCATCTCCATCCACAGCTACTCCCAGATGCTGCTTTTCCCCTACGGATACACCACGGTGCCCTCGCCCGACCACCAGGAGTTGGTGAGGTGGCCCCAAAACGTCGCGAGACGTCCCAGGGTCTTGTTCCCAACTGGTTCTGGGCTCTTGATCCCATCCCGAGGTCCCGGTCCACCAGATCCCACCACTTTTGGGCTCCAGATCCTGCTGTCCCAAGGTTTTTGATCCACCAGATCCCATGAAGTTTAGACTCCTGATCCCACTGGCCCAAAGTCTTGTTCCACCACATCCCACCAATCTTAATCCTGCAATCCCAAAGTCCTGGTCCACCACATCCCACCAATCTCAATCCTGCAATCCCAAAGTCCTGGTCCACCACATCCCACCAATCTCAATCCTGCAATCCCAAAGTCCTGGTCCACCACATCCCACCACTTTTGGGGCTCCCGATCCTGCTGTCCCAAGGTTTTTTCTCCACCACATCCCACCAATCCCAACCCTGCTGTCCCAAGGTTCTGGTCCATCAGATCCCCCCCTCTCGGGCTCTCTTCCCAAGGTTTTTGCCCCCCCAGCTCACTCCCAATCTGGGCTCTCCTTGCAGAACGAGCTGGCCAAGAAGGCCGCGAGCGCCTTGGCCGCCGTGTACGGCACCAAATACACCTTCGGCAGCATCGCCAGCACCATCTGTGAGTGTCCTCCCTCTCTCCCTCCCTCCTCCCTCCCCATGGCCGGGACGGACGTTTCCCCCAGGAAGGCGATCCCAGCGCTCTCCTCTCCCCGCAGACCCGGCCGGAGGCACCACTGTGGACTGGGCCTACGAGCTGGGGGTGAAATATTCCTTCAGCCTGGAGCTGCGGGACACGGGGCAGCACGGCTTCCTCCTGCCCTCCAGCCAAATCCTGCCCACGGCCACTGAGACCTGGCCTGCCCTGCTGGCCATCCTGGGACACGGCCTGGAGCGGCCCCGCTGAGCCGCCCCTCACCCAGTGAACCTCCTGGGCACTCCTGGCTCCCTCACCCAGTGAACCCCCTGGGCACTCCTGGCTCCCTCACCCAGTGAACCTCCTGGGCACTCCTGGCTCCTTCCCCCAATAAACCCCCTGGGCACTCCTGGCTCCTTCACCCAATAAACCCCCTGGGCACTCCTGGCCCCCTCCCCAATTATCTCCCTGGGCACTCCTGGCTCCGTTTGTCTGTGGAAGGGGGGCCCGGGTGGGGATCCCCACTCGTGGGTTGGCCCCCCCAGCCCCCACCATTGGGCCCTGCAGGGCGGGGCAGGAGCAGGACGAGCACTTTTGGGGCCTCCAAAGCCAGAGCTGGGGGGGTTTGAGCAGCCTTGCCCCGTCGGCCCTTCCCTCCCCGGGGGCCTCTCTGTGCACGTGGCAGGGGAAATCAGCACCTGCTCCCACCTCTGCTAGGCTGGGCTTTGGGGCAGATCCCCAGGCCAGGCTTTAAACCAGATTCTTTAAACCAGATTCCCAGGCCAAGCCTTAGGCCAGGTTCCTAGTCCATGCTTTAAGCCAGGTCCCTAGTCCAAGCTTTAGGCCATGTTCCTAGTCCAAGCTTTAAACCCAATTCCCAGGCCAAGCTCTAGGCCATGTTCCTAGTCCAAGCTCTAGGCCATGTTCCCAGGCCAAGCTCTAGGCCATGTTCCCAGACCGAGCTCTAGGCCATGTTCCCAGACCGAGCTCTAGGTCATGTTCCCAGGCCAAGCTCTAGGTCATGTTCCCAGGCCAAGCTCTAGGTCATGTTCCCAGGCCAAGCTCTAGGCCATGTTCCCAGGCCAAGCTCTAGGCCATGTTCCCCCAGCACAGCCCTGGTTTCGGGTCCATCTCCCAGCTCCGTCCATGTGTAAATGGCATCTCCCCCTTTCCCAACCCCACCTCTCCTTTCCATCCGCACTGGGCCGGAGGGATTGGTGGGGTTTGGCCCCTCCTGTCCCCCCGGCCGGTGCCTCCCCCGCAGCCCGGCAGGTTCCTGGAACAGGTTTTTCCAGGCCCGGCAAGGCCGTGGATGGAGGGAGGGCACGGCCTGACCTTGGCGGTGCCAGGCCGGGCCTTCCCACGGCGCTGGGAAAAGGGGCAGGTGGCACCAGGGGATTTAAGGGGCGCGGGGGCGGCCGCAGGACACGAGCCCGGCTGTCCCCGCCGACCATGAGGGTCCCCGCGCTCTTGGCCGCCCTGGTGGCCGTGGCCACCTGCACCGAGACCTTCGTGGGGTACGGGGGCTGCGCCGCGGGGCCGGCGGCACCGGCTGGGCCGGGGGGAGCTGCCTCTGCCCCCGGGGGGGCTCAGGGCAGCTCCCCGGGCTGGGGGGACGGGCGGGGTGGGAACTGGGCTGGAGCGAGGCGGGTGGAGCTGGTCCCAAACCCCCCGACCCCACAGGCAGCAGGTGCTGCGCGTGGTCCCCACCAGCCCCGAGGAGCTGCAGAGCCTGCAGGAGCTGCAGGGACTGGAGCACCTGAAGGTACCGGCGCCTTTGGGGGGGGGGGTTGGGGCTGGATTTGGGGCTGGGGTTGGGCTTTGGGGTTAGATTTTGGGCTTGGATCTGGGGGTTAGATTTGGGGGGTAGATTTAGGGTAGGAGTTGGAACTGGATTTTGGGGGGTGGATTTGGGGGGTGGATTTGGGGTAGGAGTTGGAACTGGATTTTGGGGGGTGGATTAGGGGTTGGGTTTTGGGCTTGGATTCAGGGTGGGATTTTGCACCTGGATTCAGGATGGGATTTGGGCCAGCCCCAGGATGGGGCTGGATTTGGGATGGTGGGAACCAACCTGGACAGAAGCTGCTGCTGGTGGATGGAGGGGGTGCAGCCTGAAGCAGGACCTCGATTTCTCCCCTTTCTCACCTGAATTTGTCCCTGTCCAGCTGGATTTCTGGCTGGCCCCCCGTGGCCTGGGCTCTCCCGTGGATATCCGGGTGCCGTTCCCGAGCCTGCAGCCTGTCAAAGCCCACCTGGAGGCCGCCGGGGTGTCCTACTCCATCATGATCCAGGATGTGCAGGTCAGTGGAGCCCGAGTGCAGCTGGGGGGGACTCAGGGTCTCATCCTGCTGGGAATTCGGGCCCATCGTGCCCCATGTGCCCCAGGAACTGCTGGATGAGGAGCAGAGGGAGATGATCCGGAGTAGCCGCTGGCTGCCGCTCTCCACCAGCACCTTTAACTACGAGGCCTACCACACCCTGGATGAGGTGAGAGGCACGAGAGTCGGGGAATTTCGGGGGGAAAAAGCAGAGTCCTGGAATTGCTGGAGACCCCTCCCCTCCCCCCCTGTTCCCAGATTTACGCCTTCATGGACATGCTGGTGGCCGAGAACCCCAACCTGGTGAGCAAACTGGAGATCGGCCGCTCCACCGAGAACCGGCCCCTCTACGTGCTCAAGGTGAGGGTTGGGGGCTGGGGGTGAGCGGGCAGGGGCAGCGGGGTCAGGGATGAAGGACAAAGCCAATCCCCCCCCTCTGCTGTCCCAGTTCAGCACAGGGGGCTCGAACCGCCCGGCCGTGTGGATCGACACCGGGATCCACTCCCGTGAGTGGGTGACTCAGGCCAGCGGCGTCTGGTTTGCCAAGAAGGTTTGGACACTTCCCGTGCCCGTCCTCTGTCTCCAAAGGTCCTGCAGCCACTGTGGGACCCAAGGGGTGACCACAGGGAGCCCCAGGGAGCCCCAAACCTCCTGTCCTTTGTAGATCGTCGAGGACCACGCAAATAACGAAGGGGTGGCCTCCATCCTGGACACCATGGACATCTTCCTGGAGATCGTCACCAACCCCGATGGCTTTGCCTACACCCACAGCACGGTACGGCCCCAATGCCCCCTCCCGGGTCCCTACAGGGTGGGAAGGGCAGCAGGGCTGGGAGCTGCTCCTCCCTGGGAGGTCAGAGCCTCCCTGTCCCATTCCCATGGGATGGGGATGGCACTCCATGGCCCTGCACAGCAGCTGAGGTGGCTCTGCCCTCCCAGAACCGCCTGTGGCGCAAGACCAGGTCCAAGCACTCGGGCTCCATCTGCGTCGGCGTCGACCCCAACCGCAACTGGGACGCAGGCTTTGGAGGTCAGAGCCTTCCCCTTCCCCCTCCAGGGCATTCCCACTTTCCAGGGGGAGGCTCCGAGGCCATTCCTGGCTCACAGATCCCCAGGGATGAGGTGGGATCTGCTCTGTGTGCCAGATCTGAGCCCATTCCTGGCTCACAGATCCCCGGGGATGAGGTGGGATCTGCTCTGTGTGCCAGATCCAAGGCCATTCCTGGCTCACAGATCCCCGGGGATGAGGTGGGATCTGCTCTGTGTGCCAGATCCGAGCCCATTCCTGGCTCACAGATCCCCGGGGATGAGGTGGGATCTGCTCTGTGTGCTGCCAGATCCAAGGCCTGGGGGCCCCACCAGGGTCTGGTGGGCAGCAGAGTGGGGACCACAAGGGGAAGTCTCCATGCAGATCTCCAGGAGGAGCCTCAGGAACGTTCCTCACCGGCCATGAGAAGCTCGGGGGGTGGAAAGGGAAAAGACCCTTTCTCCCTTGGGAGTCTTTGAGCCACCCAAGCCCAGCCTGTTTTCCCTCTCCCGTTGCCCACAGGCTCTGGGGCCAGCGGGAACCCCTGCACAGAGACCTACCACGGCCCCTACCCCAACTCGGAGCCCGAGGTGAAATCCATCGTGGACTTCGTCAAGGCCCACGGGAACATCAAGGCCTTCGTGTCCATCCACAGCTATTCCCAGCTCCTGCTCTATCCCTATGGATACACCACCACCCCGGTCCCGGACCAGCAGGAGCTGGTAGGGCCCCTGGGGAGGTTTGGGGGGCTGGGGGAGATGTGGGGCTGCTCTTCTCCTCCCAGGCACCTCCATCCTGCCCCACGGAGCAGTGGGAAGCTCTGGCTCCTCTGCCAGCCCTGGGAATTGAGCTTTGTGATCCTTCTTGCCTGTGGCACGAGGGAAAATCCTCTCTGGATCCCACAGGCTTTGCCCTTCTGTGCCTCACCTTTTCCTCTGTTTTAGCTCATCTTCTCTTCTTTTCTCCTCCTTTGGTTCATCATTTTCCTTTCTTTACCTCACCATTTTCCCTCCTTTACCTCATCACTTCCCCTCCTTTGACTCACCTTTTCCTCCTTTTTAGTTCATCTTTTTCCCTCCTTTGGTTCATCATTTTCACCTCCTTTGACTCATTATCTTCCCTCCTTCAGCTCATCCTTTCCCCTCCTTCAGCTCATCCTTTCCCCTCCTTCAGCTCATCCTTTCCCCTCTTTTGACCCATCTTTTCCTTTCTTTTGGCTCACGATTTCCCCTCATGGCTTTCCCCCATGATTTCCCCCTCACGATCTCCCTGTCCCCTCCCAGCACGAGCTCTCCGCCAAGGCCGTGGCCGCTCTGTCCTCCCTGTACGGCACCAGCTACAAGTACGGGAGCATCATCACCACCATCTGTGAGTGCCTCCCAAAGTCCATCCCAAAACCCACCTCAAGGCCCATCCCTCACACCACAGCCGGGACGAAACACCCCATAAAAATCGCCCTCCCCTCCCGCTGTTCCCTCAGACAAGGCGAGCGGAGGAACCATCGACTGGACCTACAACCAGGGCATCAAGTACTCCTTCACCTTCGAGCTGCGCGACACGGGGCGTTACGGGTTCCTCCTGCCCGCCAAGCAGATCGTGCCCACGGCCCAGGAGACGTGGCTGGCCCTCAAGGTCATCATGGAGCACGCCCGGGACAACATGTACTGAGCGGCACCGCGGCTGCAGAGGGGGCAGAGCTGAGTCAATAAACACGGGAGAAAAACAAAAGCTTTTTGTTGTTTTCCCTTTTCCCCAAGTCGGGTGGAAAAGCCCTTTTGGGAGATGGATCCGCTGTTCCCGCGTGTGCCAACACAAACAGGGTGTGCTGGGCTGGAAAGGGCTTGGAAAGGGCATGAAAATAGCAGGGATGAAAGGAGGGAAGGGGTTTTCCCTCTGTTCTGGCAGAGGAGGGGAGGGGAAAAGGGCTGGTTTGGCACCGGGCAGCTGGAGCGGCTCTGGGATATGAGGCCATGGATCGACGGGATTTATGGGGCTCCAAGGCTGGAGAGGGACTGGGGACAAGGGATGGAGGGACAGGACACAGGGAATGGCTTCCCAGTGCCAGAGGGCAGGGACAGATGGGAGATTGGGAAGGAATTGCTGGCTGGGAGGGTGGGGAGGGGCTGGACTGGATTTCCCAGAGAAGCTGTGGCTGCCCCTGGATCCCTGGAGTGTCCAAGGCCAGGCTGGAGCCACTTGGGAAGGTGTTCCTGGGGTTGGAACTGGATGAGTTTTAAGTCCCTTCCCACCCAAACTATTCCATGGTCCCTCCTCAGGGACTGCTGCAATCTCCGTGGAAGGGGAGCCCAGCCCCTGCCCACTCCCACCTTTTCCAGATTTTCCAAAACTATCAAAGCTCGAACTGGGGAAAAAAAAACAAACACCAAAACCACTCAACCTTCTGGTGTCATTTACATTTAATTAAATTAAACAATTACACCTCTCAGCATTTACAGAGTCTGACTCTCCACCAAACAGCACCAAGAGTCCAAACACACCCAAATCCACCAAGGCAGCGGGAAAGTCCTTCAGTCCTTCCTTGGATTCCTGGATTTGGGAGATACCAAACAGCTCAGACCACTTTCACCCACTCCATAGGAGGCTGTCACGGAACCAGGGATTCTGGATCTGGGTCTGGCCCAGGACAGGCAGCACCCCCAGCATTTCAGCCAACACAGGGACAATTCCAAGAGCTCCTGGAGGTGACAAAGCTGCTCCCACCCCACAGGGCCCTCC